GGACTTAATCCCTTGATGACGAGTGTACTTTACCTGCCTTTGCTTGAGGCCATGTTTTGAAAGTTGCATTTTCCAAGGAGACCAAATGCAGGGTAATTGCAAAAATCTCACCAGCATAAAGCTATAAGTGCTTGCTTATAGCATAGCATGAGGCAGGTGAAATAGCAGTGCCAAGTACCCTTTCTTCTGCGTGCCACTGGGTATTTCATTTGCCACCTTGTACTGCAGGCTTGCTTAGGAATGACGTATTTCCTCTTCTCTCATCCCTAATTTGCAGTCTCTCCCTGCAGCTCTGGATGTTTTCTGACTGCTCTTACAGGTTGTAGGCACCTAATGTGCTGCCTACTGTAAGGCAGGCCACAGTTGCTGAATACCTGGCACCCTTGTAGGAAAGGGATGGGGCCGGAGGAATAGAGGGGTGGGCTCCCTTTAGAGCACATAGACAAAATAGTGAGTGATTGTTTTCTCACGTGGGCTTTCTTTGAAAAATGAAGTAATAACATGTTGGATATATGAGCACTTGGGCAGTTCATGCTCCACCAGCCTCTCTTGTTGTTCTGTGGGACTTCGCTGCCCTGCTGCCTATAAATAGAGGGTGTCTGCCCTGTCAGTGTGGGCCCTCTTTGGATGGGAGATGTAGGCAAACTTCCGTAAAGCGGCAGCTCCAAGTAGTTCTGAATCTTTGTGAACGTTTTGTTCTGGTAACACCCCACGCAGCTCTACTCCAGATCTTGCCTAACACGACAAGAAGCTGTTAAGTTGTAGATGCTCAGCTGTCTTGTGGTTGATGTAAGTGGCCTTGAGTAAGATGTCTGTTGCCTGGTGCTGGACAGCAAGCTCAAAGAGAAGCCGTGAGACTGTGCTGGCTGTGGTCTTCATTTCAAGACAGCTGGAATAATAATATCTGTGTGCCTGTGCTGGTGACACATGAAGGTATGTAGTGCTGTACCACAGGATACTTTTGCAAAATGTAGTGTGAGTGCTGCTATTGTACTCCAAAGGAGGCTGGGAATTCTCCCATGCGGATGTGACAGGGACATGCCTTCCAGCCGGGGCATTGACGTGTTCATCTCAACAAAGGGAGGATAAATGTAGCCGGGGTAGAATTTTAAGAGGAGTTCTTTGTCTAAATTCCTATGCAGCAAGTCACAGAAGCCTGAGCTGGCTGCTCAGCTGTGTCTGGTGATATACCTGTTCTAACTTTCACTTCGAGATAATGCTCCAACAGACTTGAACAAAGATGGTACTGTTTTAGCTGTCTCCTTTGAACTGGAGCCAGTGTATAGCCAAGCATGCGAGATTTGTGAAGTTAGAGAACAATTATCAAGAGAGAACCTGAACTGATAGTCCAGAGATGAGGGCCGTCCCAAGAGAGAACGGAGAATGGGAATGTTGGATTTCGCTCTGAATTCTAGAGCGTTTTATTAAAAAGACAGAAAGCCAGGCTACCATCCTGGAATGTGCAGCATCTGGATTCCAACCCTACTTGGACTGAGAAGTGTTTAGATTTTGGCTTTCCTACATCCTTGATCGGTGATCTACTAAAACTTTTGGGCACAAGGCATTTCTATTGCAAAGTGCAGAATGAAGCACTTCCTATTAAAGGTGTTTTTTAAGAGTTTTTATTCTTAAAACTGGGAGAGAGTTGCTAGAAGCAACAGAGTATATAATCTGCTATCATCAGTTCTTCAGAGATGAAGTAATAAAAGGTTAACATCATACAGAAGACAAGTGTTGATTAAATATTGATAAGATATATCAAGAAACAAGAAATAAAAGAAAATTATTATCAAGAATTATTATCAGGAAATAAAGCTGCATTTTTGAACCTAAAAACTAGTGGCCATAAAAATTTCACAGGCATGGATGCTTCTACGTTTTTAAAAAAAAAAAAAAAAAAAGTCATTTAAAAAAAAAGCTAAATTGTACTGCCCAGCTTTTAATGAGGTTGCTAACCTAACTGAATTTCAGTAACTTCATGGAATAAAAACAGTGAGTAGAATACTATAATTTCAGGTTACAAATTATGTAGGAATGAAAAAACAAGTTGTGTTAGTGCAGATGTGGTATTGTATAATTTTTTTAAAAGCTTATTTTCAAACAAAGTAAGTAATAATAGCATTGTTTCCTGATGAACATAAGCATTACAGAAACTTTCCGGAAGAAACTCCGTTCCTGTATGGAAAGAGTTTGCTACAAGGGCAACACTACTGACCACGTTATTCAGAAGGTAACAGAGGTGTGTTATGAAATACCAGAGAGAGGGAGTGAGAGAGAAGAAAATTTAATACTGCTGGGAGACATCAGTCATTCATATGGAAACTGGGTAAGTGTTACCTCAGGCCTCGATGCAGAAACTAAGTTTGCAAACCCTATAAATGACTGTTGCTTGAAGCAAGTAATCACAGACCCCATAGAAAGAGAAAAAACTCCTGGTTCATTTCCAAGTAGCTACTCAAAGAGCCACTCTTCAGTAGTGACACAAATTCAAATCCGAAAAAATCTACCATGCTACTGTATAAGTAAAAAAGGAATTATATAAAATGAGCAAGTCTTCAAAAGGTAATTAAAAGGAACAGCTAAAAGGGTAGAGGCTTTCCAGGGAGAGGGAACTTGTTTGAAAGCAACATAGTGAAAGATCAGAACAGCACATATGTAAGATATCCTTAAAAACCCCACCGTTAAGAAAACATCTTTTCGCAGTTCTCAACATAAAAATACTTTTAAGAAAGGTGAATACCCTCCTTTTTTACTGAAAGGTGAAGAGGAAGGCTCCCCAAAATTCTATGGGCTAACTAGTAATGGAGATACGAAAGGACACCTTATGCTCAAGGAAGATAATGATAAAATGAAATGCTTGCTTGCACTAGAGTTTGTTACAGGAGAACTTACTGAGGGGTAAGTTGGAGGAATTGTCTCAGGTCTAAGTTTTAGCAGAGGTTTCAAACAAAACATCCAAACGAGTACAAGAAGTCTGTACAACAGTACTGAAACATTATTCTGCAAGGTCTCACAGGTGAAACTGCTGAACTGCTACCTCTAGTGTGTGCTGAACTGGTTCACTTGCAGTAGACATACTGGTAAATGTGATACATTAAGGGAGAGTCAAAATGGCTTTTTGTTAGAGGACAATCATGCCTCTGATGAATTCAGTGAACATTGCTATGCTATTATATACCTGATCTTTGATCTGGTCACTCCTGAATACTGTGTGCAGTTCTGGAGACCTTATCCCACAAAAGAACACTATAAAAATGAAGCAGTGTATTCTTCATCTTAGGAAAAAATAGAGGAGATTAAAATCACTAATGATGCGGTGAAAGTGTGTGTGAAGGTGAGATGAGAATGGTTGCTCCCTGTTTCTCTAAAACAAGAACATGGCGGGAATGCAATTGAACTATTTGGCAGCAGTTTTAAAAGCAAAAACAAATAAGCAGGTGGTTTAATTGTGTAATTCATTGCCACAAGATGTTTTGAAATCCAAAAGGATAAATAGATGCAAAGAGCTATTGTATAAATTCATGGATGAAAGGTCCAGAAATAGCTATTGAAACCAGTGGTGTGCACATAGCTTTCAGTTCAGGAAATCTGAACTGTATAAACTGAGATGATTAGAACTTGGTAACATATATTAAAATAATATGTGGAAGTAGCATAGTATATTTCTTTTTTATTTTTCCTAAGCATCTGCTACTGGTTCTCTTGGACACAGGAGAGCGGACTAGGTGGATCGTTGATCTGGTGTATTTTTATGTATGAATGCCAAAATTTAACTGTTGTTAGTATTAACAAAATAGTTCACTGATGATTGGTCGAGTACTGTGGTTGATACCAGTCTTCATCTTTCAAAAATAAAATTTCATTGGAATAGTGACAAACTGGACTCACATGCAAGTATGTAAAATATCAGTGTTGCAGTTGCAGTGGCAGAGTAGACGTTTCTTTTAAAAAATGGGTAAAAGATAATGCTTCAAGGCAGAAATATGTCAAGCCAGATCCTAGCAGATGTTGTTAATCACGTATTCCTTACTTTCACTGATGGGAAAGGTTTTCCAACAGCACTGAGGCCCTGGGTCCACACATCTCTCTGTTGTTCTTGAGCCAGCCCTCTATGGAGAAGTACCCACCTCTTCTGCCTATGGGCATAACGCACCACATAGCCTCTGTCTCAGCCTGATAGTGTCTTTCTAATGCTTGTTCCTGGTGGTTGTACAGGCAGAGGGACAAGGTAAGGGAGCACCCAGAAAGACACTCCTGCACTCTTTTTTTTTAATGTTTGTTATGTGTGCAATAGTTTAGATGTTGTGAGTCACTCGTGAGCTGCTTTCAGAGGTGGTGGCGTTCAGCTCTTTTGGCAAAGTGTAAATACTTCCTGAGCGTGTTGAAAATCCAAATACTGGAGATAGCAGAATCCTCTTGTTCTACAGCCTAATATAATTAAATAGTAAGTCAAATAAATTAATGGCTCAGATTCCCAGTATAAAAGAAGCTGCCTTTCACATTGATGAGAAACAAGAAACCAGTCTTCCAAGACTACCTCAACACAACTTTTTTCTTGAATTCAATACATTAGAAACCCAGGAAGGTAAGAAGAGAGAAGAATGCATTTGGTGTCCGGTGAACCTGCCTGATGTATCACTGCTAGAAAGAAAATTCCTATTTATACTTAGAATTTACAGAGAAGAAATTTAGCAAAACTCATCCGAATCTGACATTCTGAAATCCAGAAGGAAGAGTGGTGTTTTTTGTTTTTTTTTTTTAATACTATGATTGGCAGAAATTCAAGCATCCCATTTTTCAATGAGGAACAGAGAACTATTCAAACATGCTTTATATTTCCCACAAATAGCAATTTTCTGACTTTGGAAAGTTTTAGAGGGAGGAGCTCAGAGGTGCTTGTGGGAGGGACTAAAATTCATATTAAAGTTTTGGCATGAGGGAGAGAATTGTCAGAGTAGAAGGTTTCTTCTGAGGTTTTGCATTTTTTTTGTCAATTTAGGATGATAAATATTCATGTTCAGACTCTTCTAATAATTCTTGTTTGGAATTCTGATTGTCAGATTATTCCCAGGATTGAAGAATGTGGACTTTCATGTTCTCAGGTAATCTCTTTCTTGTTCCTATTTGCTATCTATTAATGTTATAGTTGTATGCTACCGAAAGAATTGTAAACAAACTATGGAAGCAAAAATGGAAAAATATTTCAACTGTCCTGAACATTCCAAGTATCCAAACTGACAAAGATGACTGTTAACAAGGCAGTAAGAAAATGAAATTTACATTAATTCCAACTGCTGTTGTTCTCAGTGATTTTTTTTTTTTTTTTTTAAACCTGTCTTGTGCATTTGGAAATCAGTAATAGAAATGATTTAATCCATATTCATTACTTCGGAGGTTCAGTTATTACAACAGCGCTGATGCCAAAGAGGGGAGGGAGGGAGAGGAGTTTTCAGAAATTTCTAATAATGTTAGGAATATAAAAAACATTGACTTTTCTGTGAATAAGTGAATTACAGCATGAGAAAGAATAAAACCTGTTTCTGATTTTGTGGTATGAATGTAACTGCTATTAAATTTAATGACTTATGTGCATGCATAAAAGTGGAGCGTGAACCATACCATCTCTTTTAATGGCTTTGAATTTTGTACGTTTCCAAATATAACCACAAAGGGGCAGTATAGAGATAGTCTGTTTCTATTGCGATTTTGAAAGTTTAGTAAGACAATGAATTGAAAGATAAGTAAAAAATAAGAAAATAATAGAGGATCTGATTTTCAGTCTTACTAGAGGACAGTAACTGTTTAGTTGCTGTGGAGAAGTGGGATTGATGGCATGAAAGAATTTGGCTGTGTGCACAGAGTGCTGTTTGAAAATGTCACGGTGTTCTGCAGTTCCTAGGGCAGTCAACTGATACATATGACGATTGTCTAAATGTGGCAGTACTACACAGATGTTAAGTCAGTACCTGTTACAGCAATTTATTTTATATTTTATAATTGTGTCCTAGAACATATCACGAATAAAGATGCCCCAAAAATACTAGATTGAGGGGGAAAAAACACTATATTTAATATTAATTTATATTCCTGAATTTGAATTCTGTACAGTGTCAACCTGTTTATATAATGTTTCTAAAATAATAAAATACAGTAATAAAAGATTAATCTTTTGACGTACCTCAGCATTTTTCAGCAAATTTTATGTATGTTTGTTTACATATGCAAAAACACATGCATGTTAAATAATTTATTCTCCTTGGGCTGCTACAGAGAGAGTTCAAGGTAGATGCAATTTACTTTTCTAATTTGTTCTGCCAGAGTGGTTGACTGTCTGACTTGGAATGTAAAAAAAACAATTACAGGTTTTTGGGTGAGGTCCAATCTAGGGGAGTGGGTTTTCCTCTGGGGATCTTGAAGGGCATCTTTCTCTGTTGTATCTCATGTATGTATATTGGGAAGATTGGTTCACTAGGTGCCTAATATGTAAACACAGTCCTGATGTTAGGTAGACTGGATCCCTTTCTTTGCCTTCAAAAGGTTATCTCAAAATTTTTCCAATGCTGAAGGTAGGATAACTGAAAAAATATATGTATTTTTAATTTACTGGGGAAACAGCTTGTTTCCAGTATAACGGAATCGAGTATAAACGTTATTTGTGATTTTAAAAGATAGGAATCAGTTCATGCTCTGTGTGTAATGTTTCTGCTAGCTGTATTCAGTAGAATCTTGAATGCATTAATGACTTTTTAAGACAAAAATGTTTTCTCACTGGGAACAATAATGATCCCAACAGGACAAATTACTGCCAGCTTAGCCTTTTCAATCCAGTGCAAAGCATTTTACCCACATGAACTTTAGAGTCTCATGACTGCTTTTTAGAAAAAAAATTCCTTCTTTCTTTCCTTTGGAAGTAATCTCAATGTTCCTACATAATCCACCACGATTTGTGGCCTCAGTTACACTCCTTTCAAAGTTACTTTAAAAGGGAGCAGTTTATCTTCTCCATAACTCCTAAATCAACGGGCTTTATGGAGGCACTAACTGGAGTTACAATCTATCGTTGAATAAATGTGCACTGCCTTCTGCACATCAGGTCACAAACTAGTGTTTTGAGAAGAGACAGGATCAATGGAATTGCTTTTTTGTATAGAAATTTGCTTTATGAAATATTGAGGTATGGTAAACTTAAAACTGGCTATCAGAAGTGTTCTGTAGCTGCTGTTGTTACAAATGAATATTATAGAAAAATATTTTTTTTTCTTTATGGGATTTTTCCATAAGTTTATAGGGTAAGTTTCTCTTCCACAAAGTACACCCTGAGGCTGTATCGTTCTTTATAAAACAATTTATTTGCATTTTTCTTCCTTTCTTCAAGCCGTGGGTATTGTTAGAGGGTTTTGAACAGGTTTAATAACTGAAACTTTTGAGTTTGAGCAGTGGACTACGTTTTAAGGTGACTATCTCTCAAAAATCTATAAGCAGTTTTGACTGCCCTTTGGGTATTCTTTAGCAGGGTAAAGCATTGGTTTAGCAGTAAAAGCATTGGTCTTAAGGAGATTGTGACGTAACTGTTTTGGAATATATTACCTAAAAACCTTCACACTGAATTGATTTAAGTTATGGATCAGCTTAATGAATCACTCTTAGTTTACCATGAGTATTCAGCAAGGCGTCCTTGCCTTGTATAATATCCAGGTTTCTTTACTATACCACAAATTGTTGTATTCCTGTCCAGTGCAGGAAAGAAGGAAACAAAAAGACGTTGGAGGTTTATGCAAGCATTGCATGAAAATATACAATTGTGGGTTGAATGTGGGCAGAGGAACAACCAAGCTTCTATTATATATTATGATTTATTTTTTTCTTCCTTGTTTTAATGGCTTGGCTTTAGAGCTCTCATGATATTCTGGTATTCAAAGGTTAAATACAATGGGCTTGGTCTCCATGTCTCACCCAATAGCAAACACAGTTATCAGCCAAGCTTCCCTGTGAAAGCATAGGGGAATCCCAACCTGCAATTGAAATTGGGTTTGTGCCCTACTCATTTTACAATCCACATTGTTTGCAAACTGTACACAAAGAAATAGGCTTATGCCAAATTTGAATCAACAGCTGGTAAAGATCAAGGGCACTACACTAAAAAAAAACAAAAAAACAAAAAAACAAAAAAACCCCCAAAAAACTCTCGAGAAAACTATGAAGTAGTATTTGTATTGCCTCCCATTAAATGTAGTAATGTATCCAAAGTCCATAGGTAAAGAAGGAAACCCTAAATTGAATCTGGGATTTCCCTGCCGATTATAAAGGATGTTGGCAGCTAATTCCTGATAAAGCTGCTGCCTGTTCATGCTATTAATAATCCAAGTATGTAGTGTAGCTTTACTGAATACTTAGCCAAGGATCAGGCTATTCTAATTGAATATCGTACACTGTAAAATCAGTGATATAATACAGCTGTTCGTTAGGCTGCTAACTGAGCTGATGTGTATTGGCAAGCTTTATTCTTTGTTCAGGTGACCAATGAATATTTTAAAAGTGATCCCAAACCTCTAAAAATGAAGAAAATAAGAATCTAGGTAACAACTCAGTTTTTCTCTAAAATTAATTTGAAAAATTAGTTTTAGACATTGAAAATGTAGATCAAGATCAGAGGCTTGTTTTTTTCAGAGAGAGAGGGAGAGAAATACGAGTATGAAGTCACAAGAAGGGAAGATGATTCCCCACACATTTTTTGTTTATATGCAAAGACATATCTAATGACAGGAGGAAACACATAAAAAGTGTAAAACTTATCCTCTGCTAACATGTACTATGATGAAGTACAATCCAGAAGAGAGTCCCCTAGACTGAAAGCCTGGATTTTGCATCCTTGCTTGTCATTTTCATTATCATGCCCACATGTGTAGCCCTAGTCATTTCACCTCTCCGGCTTTTGCACATACAAAATAGTACTGACCTTCCTGTGTGGCATTGCTTAATTATGTATTTTAATTAAGTGCTTTGAATACTATAATTAAGTGTTCATTAGTCAAAGCATTCATACTTAAGGGGCTTAGTCACAGTGTGATATTAACCCATTCGCTCAGATATCTTTACCTACCTTCTCTGCTGGTAGTCAGGAGAGCTGTGGTTTAACAAGGTTAGGTGACTTACCTCTTGGACTGTGACTTCGCCTTTCCAGGGCGAAAAATAGCTCAGCAAAGACGTGAGGAGCTTAGCTTTCATGTTTCCTGCTGTGTCCTATGCTATTGGTTTAGTTGTCATCCCTGCCAAAAACATTGCCAAACATAGATACCACCTGGGACTCAGAAAACTCTTCAGTGTTCATCATTGTTACAGCATTTACCATAACTTCTTTTAGTAGCAGTGGAAATGGAGAAAGCTGCGCAATTCAGGACTTGCACAAAATGCAACAATACCGCTCTGTTTTTTCTTTTTCACTTCTCCCTTCTTCAAAAACTTTGGAAAAAGGCTACAAGGCACAGAAAGCAAAGAGCCTGCAGAACTCCAAGAACAGGGGAGCTACACTCAGTCATGAAGGCTGGGGACACAAAATTAACTGATGTTGGAACTAGACACGATAAGGTGTCCTGAAGTTTAGAAGGCAGGGCAATTTTAGAAGCTTCGCCACTATCAGACATCAGCATATGTTTCAGTGCCTGTAGCAGGAGGTAGAAATTAAAAGAAAAAGGCGCTATGTATGCAAGCTCAGCAGGAGATGGGAGCAGTTATCCCTTATTATAGGCAGGGGATCCTAGCTCACAACTTTGATTTCTGAGCTAGGGAAAGGGAGATATTCTTCTCCTCCACTTGGGCTGAAAGCTCAATGGAGGAAGCAGAGTATTGCTGACTAGCCATGCTTTGCAGATGGAAACCTGCTGGATTAAAGATGATATGGAGCACAGATCTCTCTCATTGTACTGGAAGTGCTAAGGGAAGCACTAGATAACGTGTTTCCATCTTCTGAAATGAGCAGGGTCTGCTGTGACCGAGAAGATTCTTCCTTCTGCAGAGTCATCAATTTGGGAGGGAAAGCAACTCCTGCTCCAGCATCCTTCACCAGAGCTGCTGCTGGAGTGGGGCATCCCTGGAGACGTTCTGA